CTAAGCTTAACCAGTAGTAATAGTTCCGTTACGTAGCTTAACTACTTCCGTTCCGTTCCTAGTTCCGTTCGGACAGGTTTGCTGGACATTTTGTGCGCCGCCTCCGAGTTCGATGCCGTGCCCGTGCGCAGCGGAGAAGAAGCCACGTTGTATGGCTTGGCACAGTCGTTGGGCATGAAAGTGGACAAGGAGAAATTGAATGATCCTCATACCAAAGCGCAGCTCTTGTTGAGTGCTCATTTCACTCGGACTCCGATCACTACGGATTTGTCTTCGGATCAAAAATTCATTTTGGACCACGCGGTGCGTCTTTTGCAGGGTTTGGTCGATGTGATCTCCTCGTGTGGATGGCTGACGCCGGCCTTGAGCGCCATGGAACTGAGCCAGATGATCGTTCAAGCCACGACCTCCACGAGTTCTCCATTGATGCAACTGCCGCATTTCTCCTTACAAATGGTGGAGAAAGCCAAGCAACTGGACTGGCTTAAGCTTAGAAGAGAAGAGGTAGAAGGTAGGAAGAGGTAGCTATAGTACCTTACTTAAGCTAAGAACTACTGGACGCATGATAGCTCACGCTTCTTCAAGGAAGCGCTCCCCGCTGCCCTAAAGGCGACGGGGGAAGCTTCCTTGAAGAAGCGCTCGCACTAATGATTTGGTTCCGAAACTTTTTTTTGCAAACTGAACAAAGAAGCGATTTGTGAACTCCAACTAGTAACAGGTGCCACGCTAGTAGTAACAGGTGCCTTACTAGTAGTAACAAGAAGCAAGTAGGAACAAGTGCCACGCTAGTAGTAACAGGTGCCTTACTAGTAGTAACAAGAAGCAAGTAGGAACAAGTGCCACGCTAGTAGTAACAAGAAGCAAGTAGGAACAAGTGCCACGCTAGTAGTAACAGGTGCCTTACTAGTAACAAGAAGCAAGTAGGAACAAGTGCCACGCTAGTAGTAACAGGTGCCTTACTAGTAACAAGAAGCAAGTAGGAACAAGTGCCACGCTAGTAGTAACAGGTGCCTTACTAGTAACAAGAAGCAAGTAGGAACAAGTGCCACGCTAGTAGTAACAGGTGCCTTACTAGTAACAAGAAGCGATTTGTCAACTCCACCTACCAAACTCGTCTCAGGAAGTTCAAGGTGGAGGATATTTTCGATGCAAACGTGCCATGTTTTGTGACGGCTCCACACTTGCCGCCCGGTCCTCCATCCAGTCTCTCTATCTCTCGCTCTCTATCTCTCGCTCTCCTTCATGCCTTTCTGTCTCTTTGTGCCAGGTGATGAGCATGGAGGATGCTCAACGAGACAAGCTGTTGGATGGCTTGTCTCAGCCACTTGGGAAGCAAACACTTTGAGTGCTGGTTCCTAATGCATCAAGCTAATGCACTTGGTTTCTAAAAACAGCATGTCATGCTTGTAAACATGCTTGGGGGGTCTTATAAACTATGTTTCATTTGATTTGCTTTGTTTTGCTATTGTATCTATTTAAGATTACCATTACATTGTTTTGACTCTATATTGAGTTTTTTTTGTAAATCTATTTATTGTTTGCATATGCCTCATACTGCTTTTGGCGTAGCGCCAAGCTGTGAGGTCTCAGCTCACGGATGTGGCTCGGGCGTGCAATCGCTTCCCGGCCATTTCCTTGGAGTACAAGGCGAAAACGAAAGAAAGGAAAAGAAGGACGAAACGAAAGAACAAGTCGGACAAAGGTAGGACAAAGAGGACAAGAAAGGAGAAATGAAGCAACACAAGACTCGAGTTTGTATTTTCTCAGAATCTTCTGATGCCGCTCAAAGCTAGAAACTCAGCAAGCGAGGTGTAAAGAGAACTCCAAGTAGCGACGCTTTAGACCCCCTTCAGGGAATGCAAAAGAACACACAACAATTTTGTTTCAATATTTGTTAAAAGTCGAACACGACATATTGGATTAAAGACTTACTTATTTTCTGAGAGATCCTGACAGCTTTAGACCTTTGCAGAGCTTTCGGAGACTGGTGAATCACGAGAAGATTGCCCGGTCATTGTGCGAAAGTTAAGTTTCCCTAATACTCTCGAAACCAAATGAGTTTTAGGAAGCTTTCCCCGCCGCCTTTAGGGGGAGCTTCCTTGAAGAAGCGTGAGCGTCCAGTTGCTAGAAGCTAGCCTAGTAAGGAGCCTACTAACTAGTAGTTTTGCCGTTACTTAATCAAGTAGGCGCCTACTTGATTAAGGAAGGTCAGAGCGGGGCGTTGTTCGTTCTGTTTTCGGTTCCAGGTGAACTCTGATTCGCTCACAGCGGGTGGCAGCGCCAAGATCTCTGTGAAACTGACGAGAGAGGCCATGGAGGCGTGGAATTGAAGAGAAGAAAACAGACATTGTCGACATTTACATTAAAAAATAATCCCAAGATCTTACATTTCTTTGCATTCTTTTGGTGTGATGTTGAACGTCAAGTCTTCTCGACCGGTTCGGATCGAGGAAGAAGGCGCAGTTGGACCTGTGTATGCCATGTACTATCCCAAGGAGAGAAAACGACGACACAAGACACGGCTACGGCCGGTATAGCGCATATACAATGCTACGGCGTAGTTAGTGACCCTGGAGTTTTTCTCGATTGTGCCACGGATGGTTTTGGTTGAACATGCTTAAAAAGGTGGCCTTTCGCGATTTTCATCTTTGGTTGTCAATAACGTTCTGTTCTTCAAATACTGTATTTTACAAGACTCCAGGGCGCTTTTTCATCCTCCCCAATCAGGTTCTGTGTTCAATTTCTGGTTTCAGGTGGGATGCGTTTGTCGTTCCAGTTTTGTTGCTTTGTGTTGTTCTCGTGTTTAATTGAAACGCCACGTCTTGTGATTGGTGTTCCCGGTCAGGCTGCGTGTTCATGGTGTTGCTCTTACGCGGTGGGCACAAATAATTGATTTGAAGTGTGTTTTTTTGTATTATGTGTTTCTGCTTTTACACATTTTTCGTGCTTCTCACTCTGACATACATGCAGTGCGCGGCTCCCATATCAAGCAAACTGTTCTTTCTCAGCGGCGCACCGCCTTGCGACAGAGCTCTCCCACTGCCTGCCACAGATCTTTGGTTGCATTGTTGTGAAAGAGCCAGGATGTCACACACACAGCATCAGCCTGTCGATGTTGCGTGTTCTTTCTTGCTATGGATCGTTGAAGGCATGTGACATCATCTTCGAAGCACATCCAAACCAACGTCATTAGTCCCCCGCCAAACATATCAAACATCAACCCACATGCATACCTACTAATGTCGTCAAGGCCGGAAAAATGCAATTTCCCCGGGGGTCGCGAACAACTCCGTTGGCATGTACAACAAGACACTGGGTGCGCAGCAGTAAGCGAAGAGCATCAGGAGTCCGCCGAGTAGCTTTTGTCCAAGGTTATTTTTTCTTTTGGGAGACGTACTTTTTCGTGAGAAGAAATCGGACGTAAAGATCTAGGTACAAAGGTATGAACCCAAGAGCTGTAAAATATTGATGCCAGATATTATTTATCATTTCTATATTTAAAGGCTGGGCTAGAGCACCATCAACTAATTTTAAGTGTGAATAGATTTATGGCCCAGCCTATCAATAAATAAAACAAATGAATGATAACTAGTGATGGAACCTTTCTGACAACCCAATCGAAGGAAGCGGAGTTTCCTTGATTCCTTTTGCGTCCGGATGCATCGACTACCTAGCTTCCTGTCACCAAGACCAGCTAAACACAACCTAAGCTGCTCAAGTTCCTTGAGCTAGTATATACCTTGCTGCTGCTACTGCTACTGCTACTCCTACGACGGCGACTACTACTACAACCACAACTACTACAACAAGAACTACTACTAACTACTACTAACTACTACTACCTACTAACTACTACCACTACCTACTAACTACTACTACAACAACAACAACTACTACTACTACTAACTACTAGTACTTTCTAACCACCACCACTACCTACTAACTACAACTACAACTACAACTACCACTACTACTACTACTCCTACTACCTACTACCTACTACTTACTACCTACTACTTACTACCTACTACCTACTACTTACTACTTACGACTTACCACTTACCACTTACTACTTACAACTTACTACTACTTACTACTACTTACTACTACTTACTACTTACTACTACTTACTACTACGTACTACTACGTACTGCTACGTACTACTACTACTACTACTACTACTACTACTACTACTATACTACCACAACCAGTACCACTACCACGACCACCACATAGTGTGCCCCGCTCGAACTCGAACTCGAACTCCAACTGAATGAGAAGTGTACCCTGTACTTGATGTTTTTGTGTTTGAAGATGAAGTGAACGGTGTTTTGACTTCAGTCGTCGTGACTTGATTTTTTCGTGCTCAAGCTTTTCATCCTGGGGTCGTGCATGGAGCGACGGCTGGTCCCTCTCGCGGCTACTGCACTGGCTTGAGGCGGCGGATTCTGGTTGGCTTCACTGTGGGCAGTGGCTCGGCGCGAAGTGGGTCGAGCATTGTTTGTGAAGGGGCTGGATTTGGTGCAATCGGGATTGGATCAGGTTACCGTTTCATTGGATTGGGACTTTGAGAGATTTTTGCATCTAGCAAGCTTTCTTTTGTTGCTTTCCCATTGGAACGAATTCTCTGGCATCACTAGCCTCTTGCTGCGTATCCTTAGAGCTGGCTTGCACTTGCTTTGGGTGGCGGTTCACCGTTGTGAAGGTCGGCGAGAAGGACCAGTGGGAGTTGAAACCGTTGTTGTTGGAGGTCACGCATACCCAGAACAGGAAGAGCTCTTTACCTGGATAGGCATGGCCTTGGCTGCAGGCGGTCCCCCATTACCAGTGGGATCGTTTGTGTTGATTTCAAGGCCCCCTGACTGGGACGAAGTGCTTGTGTGTGGGTTTGGCGATAGCAATCGAGTTGCATTATGCCGTACAACCAGCACAGACGGCAGCGATTGGGTGTGGGTGTTGGTGCAACTTTTGGGCCTTCATTTGCGTTTGCCAGTAGTGGGGGCACATGGGTTGCGGACGGCTCCGGCCGGCATAGACAACAACGACGTGAACTGGATCTGCACCCCTCCGGCTGGTCTGAACCAATGGCAGCCCACTGCTGCGGAGTTGGCCAATTTGGCCACAGAGGCCAACCTGGTACTTGCTCAGGTGACGCCGGGCAGCCCGGGTTGGGTTCTCAACGCGCCTGGGGTGGGTGGCCCCAACGCAGGAGGTGCAACAAGCAGCGGCTGCGCCAATTGCCAGCCGGGCCCGGAGGAGGAGGAGGTTTGGCACAGGCGCCCCCCGTGGGTTCAGGGCTGGGACTTGCAAACGACAACCCGCCCTCATCAGGAGCGGACTTGCGGGCCTTAGAAGCAGCTGTCCAGAGTTTGCAAGCGATGGCATTGAGTCCAGGAAGACGTTCCGCTCATTCCCGTGGCAGCAGCAAGAAGAAGACCCGCAAGAACAAGCGGGAATCCCGGAAGAAGAAGAAAAAGAAGAAGGGAAAGAAGTCCTGGAGCAGCAGTTCGAGCGGCTCGAGTTCAAGCAGCCGTTCAAGGTCCAGGCGTTGAGATGGAAAGAGAGCGGCAAGGACCGATCCGTGCCGTATGCCAGCCTTACTCACATCGATGGCCTAAAGTTCAAGAAGAAGGGCGACTTGGTGGCATTCGCCACGAAGAATCCGGTGGCGCTGACAGCACACTTTTTGGCAGGTGTGTACCAGCGGCTGTCGAAAGGACAGTTGAGCCGCAGCGGTCAGCTCCGCGATGTGTCAGTGACAGCATGGGCTCACCAGTTTGCCGGCCTGAGCGAGCCGAGGGACATCAAGGAGGTGGTCACTTTAGCGGAAGTGCTAGATGCAGTCAATCGACGCGAGCTGGCGCAGGCACTCGACATCATCAGCCAGAGAATCTTGGCCATCCAGCAGGCCCGTCAGAAGGGTGGGTCCTGGGAAAAGTCGGAGCAGATCGAGTTGATCGACGCTCGCAAGACGTTGGCGAGCCACTCTATGTTGGCTCTGACCAATGCCTAGCGGGTGATTTGAGAAGAACATGGTATAGACTCGGCGGTTGCTGCAATGCTTCCATGGCTTTCAGTCAGTATTATGCCACGATGGCAAAGGCTGTGACTCTTACACTCAAGTCAGCTGGAAGGGTTTCTCCTTTTGCTCAGAGCGTGCAGCGCTGCCAGGGATGGTTGCACAAATTCAGGAGAAGAGCAGAATTCGATAGTAACAGCAGCTCTAGCACTGGGGCTAAGTTCACATCACCTAGTCATGTTTTTCCCATTCTACGGCGGCTACAGTTCCTTTGGCCGATCATGTGGAGCGCTGTTTTCCAGAGATGGGCAAGCAGGTCCGTTTTCCAACAGCCTTGCTCTTGCCTGCTCGGAAGAGGCCCAGGAGAATCAAGCGTGGTTACACCTGGGTGGCCTCTACGTATCCCCAGCTAGTGGAGAGGAATGTCAAGGCAGGGCTTCAAAAGTTGAAACATGGAAATCAAGTAGCTCGACATGGGGGTAGGATGGTGCTTGCGGGTGCTTTTGCGGTGGTGAAGGACGCCCTTGAAGACCGTGTCATTACTGATCCCACTGTCAACCAACTTCTTGATCCCAGCAGACTACCCAGACCGAAGTTTGCGTACATACCATCACTTAGGTCCCTCACAGTTCCACGTGGGGGTGTGATTCGTGTGACAAAAAGAGATGCCAGACACTATTTCCATCGCTTGCAGATCGGGCGGCGATGGGGCAAGTGGCTATGCTCTCCTCCCATTCGACTGCCGGCCAGGCGGGGGGGGGAGAGCGAGTTCTATACCCATCAGCTTTAGCAACTCCTATGCGGGCTGGGCCCAGGCCCTTACGGATGTCATTGCGGTGGACGCCGAGCTCCCTCAAGACAAGAGGCTCCGCCCAGATTTTGTAGTGCCTGAGAGTTTGCCTATTTGGGGGTCAATTATAGATGATGTTTGGGCTTTGGAGCACACCGAAGAATCCCAACCGGCCCTAACAGGTCCTTCCTGGTTGCAGCGCGCTGAGGAGGCATGGGTCACACGGGGGGTTGAACCAAACACCAAAAAGTCTGTGAATAGCGCCCTCGGTGAAGAGGTACAAGGCTATTACGTTCATCCTTATGACCATTGGGTTGGCGTGGCTCTTGAGAAACGTAGGTATTTGTTTCAGGCAACCATGAGCATCTTGATGAGACCACGAGTTGTGGTAGGGGTGGTGGACCGCTTGATCGGCAAGCACAGCTTCGTGCAGTCCTGCCGGCCACGCGTGAGGTCCATCTTCGAGTTCACCTACCTCTGGATTGCAAGCGTGCGCAGCCGGAGGCGAGACCTGGTCGTGCTACCCCATGAGGTTTGGGTTGAACTATGTTTGGCAGCCATACTACTCCCCTATGCACAGTTTGACCTATCAAGTCCATGGAGCAACCGGTTGGAATGCACAGATGCCTCGATGACAGGCATTGGGCGCTCCTTTGGCTTTGCTCCTACACCTGTGGTGCAGGCACTAGCTAGAGTATTCTGAGCATCGAAAAGTTTACGCGAACCTTACTTTACCCTGGAGCATTGGGCTAACTAAAGAGCATGCTTGTCCCCTCAGACGTGTTCGCTTGCCAAGCGAGAAGATCACGTGGCATCATTTAGCGAGTCCTTGGCAGTGTGAGCATATCACGCTTGGCGAGGCGGATGCTGTGGCTTGGGCCGCTGAGGATCGTCTCAGGCGAGGCGTCGATGATGGGGCGAGGTTTGTACACCCTGTCGACTCAGCGGCGTGCGCAGGGTGCTTTACAAAAGGCAGGTCTAGCTCTAGACGATTGAATACAAGGTGTCGGCGGTTGGCCAGTGTTTCATTGGCTGAAGATGGAGGCTGACCAATTCTGTCTTCAACTCCAAACATTGTCGTTTGGGGCCGCCCTCAAAGAAGAGCTGAGCAAGTTCGGAGACCGCTTTGAGTCTGGGGCTTGTGAGTCTGTGAGTGTAAACCTGGTGTTCCTACCTGCAGCAGTTTGTATCTGAGATAGATGTACAAGCGCATCAATGCCCTGGTGTCAGCTCAGAATGACGATGAGGCCAGCTATATTCCTTATGTCCGTTCATTCATTCAGGCCAGCCAGGACTTTGAAGGTCTTAGAAAGGCTGCTGATGGCATGGTGAAATCAATGAAGCGAAAGCGCCTTCAGCCAAGCGACCCAAGGCAAAGGCCGCTAAGAAAACGGCCGGAAGGGCTGTGACGGTCTCAAGGCTTTTGATGTGCGCACGACGTGGGGAAATGTCACATGTGCGATGCTTTGGCTGCGAAAAAGAGAGTGGGTATGTGACTCATGTGTTTCTTGACCGCGCTTTCCAGACTTTAATTTTCACACAGCAGAGGACACCACTCATTTTGGTTGGAAGTACTTCAAGCTCAAAAATTCCAGGCTTGCCCACGCCTAATGCTCAGATCACCGTGGTACATCACTCTGTCTTCCTGTGTGTTCCGCTGCTTCCAGGCGCGAGAACAGCAACGTAGGCTGGTGCGAGTGTCCGACGTTTTTCGGACGCAAGTGGATCGCGTTCTGTTTTTGGAGGTGCCAGCGATTCTTCGTCAACACCTTGTCCAAAGATATGCAAAAAGGCTTCACCCTCAGATGACAACAGCCAAAAAACAAGCACGCGCTGCTACTCACCAAGGGCCCACTTTTCCCAGGCAAGTGGAGGACTTTGACATTCTTAGCAGAGGAGGTTGGGAGTGGGGACATTTGGTTGCGCTATTTACCCCAGGTTCAGTGTAGTGTACATGTAATGCTTTCTGGATGCTCTGGTGAAGTTCCGTGGAGCTGAGGGCCTTTCCGGGACCAAGTCCACGCAGATAGCAGCGGCCTTTGCAACCGATGGCGCGAAAGGGAACGCCGTCAAGCAGTTTGCGAAATCCAAGCAAGAAAAAGATTTGTTCCGGTGGATGCTTGACCGATTGGCTCAATGATTTTCAAACGGTTAGCGATTGTTTGGATGTATTTTTGGCGTCGGCTCATGCAATGTCTTTGCATTTTGCTGCCACCGGATGCAAGGATCAAGTTGCCGTTCAAGCCATACGTGGTGATGACCCTTCTTGTTTTTCACGACCTGGATGAAGTGACCCGTGAAGTGGACGTGTCATTTTTTCGCCTTCAATGATGATCCGCGAGATCTTCAAACAGGGACCTGAAGTCTGCAAGAGGTGCTTCTTCAACGATGGGCCAGAAAGTGTTTTTGAATGGTGGAAAAGAGAAAACAAGGCATTCACTGACAGCTTGGGAGGATTAGAGACTCTCAAATACACGTTGCGAGTGCCAAAATGGAAAGGGGAAACAGTGGAACACACCTTTCACCAGTGAAGGGAGCTGGATCATACGCAAAGGCGTGGTGGGATTGACTACTAGTGGCATGTCGCCACACCATTTTGGATGTGCTGTCCTGGGATTTGCGGGCCTGCGCAGAAGGAGTCTTTCCTGTCGCAGATCACACAGGCAGACTTTTTCCACCAGATTCACCAGAAGGTCAGAGAGCGCACCAGCCTATAGCAGAAGTTGGTGGAATCAGGTGGAAAGCCCACTTTGCATACTGGAAGGGTGACCAAGAGGCTGCAGCTGCTACTCACGATTCTCGCCCTTTGCTTCAATTCTTTTTGGGTCAGTGTTTTTTAAAATATATATCTATATGTGTGTGTGTCCCCCTGCGTTTCACTCCAGCGGTTGGAGTTCAGCTTGCCAAGGAAGCCACGACGTCATACAGGCATACGTTCATTTGCGACTGGTGTTTTGCCAGCAAAACTCCGCAGCGGTGAACTACGCAAACTTTAAGCCTGATGCGTTTTGGAGAACGACCTTGTGCAAAACAACAGACCCCGGATGTAGTCCATGGCAGAAAACTGTTGGCTTCAGCAAGGACAGGCAGCTTTGGAATTGCAGTTCACTTGTCAATTTATGGACTTTGCTTTTTTGATGCGAAGCCCCTGGATGTCTTGCGATCCTGCCTATGTGCGTGAATGTCTTTGTGTTTGGTTTGAGGTTAGCACATTTTGCACCTGGGCATACGCAGAGATGTTTGCGGCAGCTGCTTGGTCGATTTGCTCAAGACAGGAGTTGGGATTGAAATGTAGATGTTCAATCAGTCAAACTTAATGTCAGCCAGCTCTGGATTTCGCTACCTATATCTGGAGGAGACCTGCGCAGGTTTTTTCGCTTACCTGCAGGTGCATCAAACGACTTGGTTTTGCGCAGGGTGACAACATTAGCGCGAGAGTGGGCAAAGCAGCGTCGACTTGAATTGAGCGTCAAACCACTTACCAAGAGCGCTGTGGGATATACTTCAACCCAATACGCTTCATTGGAGTCCACCATCAAGGCTGCAAGAAGTCTATTTGAATACGTGTGCCACATTTGCTTGGCTGCTGTGGCTTGGTTTGGTCAAGGAGCAAATATTTGATGTTTGTTTCTCCACAAGGGAACCCTTGGTCATTTCATTGCCATATGGTCAAGCCTCTCTCCAATCAGCGGCTTGCTCAGGCAGATTCAATGCCACAAGAACGGTGTTTTTCGATGTCGATGTGCCTCTCGGCACTCCCGGCTCAGTGAGCTTGAAGCAAAAGAAAGTGTTGCAATGGGGCGCTTGCGCTTGAGGTGCTATGCAACCCTTTCTAGCGCTGCACTGCGCGATGGCGTTTTGCTGTACAAATTATGTCCCGAACGTAATTATTTCGAACGTGATTTGGATGAAGGTTCACTGACTGCCCATAACCCTTTACAACAAAGTGGATGAAGACGCAATGAAACACTTACGCGGTGTAGCTATGTCATGTCACCCCAGCACTGTGAGGGTGAGATGCGGGAGGAGGTACCTGCTTAAGCAGATCCTCTTGCACAGACGGCTGAAACTAGCTGTCAACAGGACTGAGCACTGAAAATGAATTTTTGCAAAGAGGGAAAATGTTGTTTCAAGGGCTTAGAAACCGATTCTCCACGTGAAATTGTCACATTTCCAGCGAGCAGACGTTGCAACGGTTCTAAGT